GATATCGGTGATGCCGAAATCGTCTTTGATTCAATATCGGTTTTTGCGATAACGGTGATTTATTTAGAACAAGTGATGAAGTACTTGGTGTCTCATGTTTCTGGTTAAAAAAATGTCCATCATCTTCATCAACAACAATTATTTTTGGAAATTTATTCATCATGCAACTTTCACTTCTATTTTGTATTCCTTTTCTTTTATCGCAATTTAAAAAATTCAGTCAATGTATGATAGTTTACTAATCTCGATCAAACTTATCAACATGTGTCTTTGAATAACAAGATTAATTATCTTAAACGCCAATATTTGCTATATATTCATAATACGTTTAATGCAAATTTATCATTAGACTTAATCCTTGTAAAGATAGACATCCCAAGTTAAAAATGTTAATCATGTTCTGTTTTTGACTTGTTAGTAATACAATAATAATTGTTTTCAACAATATCACTCTAATTCAAATGACGTTTATCCCACTTGACAATATTAGATCATGTTCGTTCCAGCTATTTTTTAAAAAAGCAGATAAATATTAATTAGACTATAAGTTATTGTTATACAACACGAACTGTTTAATTAGTGTTGCGTTTAAAATGATGTCAATACTGTTGGTTTTTGTTTACAGAAACATCGTACATAGAAACAACTATTTCATAATAGTACCTAAAATGTTCAGTTGCTAGAACGTATTAAAAAACGTACAAGCTTTCTCGTACAAATGTCAATATTTTAACAGAAGCTTATATAGCACATTAAGACAAATTTATAAATACATAATAATATACAAATCGAATTCCGATTATCTTTGTCATAAAAATTCATATGATTTGAATTTTGCTAATTCATTCACACAAAAAAACAAAAGGAAAAAAAATGAATATGACTTTAAAAAATTAATATGACTTTAAAAATGCATGATCATTGACATCTTTATCGGGATTTTTTTTTAACTTATAATCTTGAAGGAATAGTGACACACACGTAACATAATAAAAGACGTCAATTTCTACAATAAAACAAAGTAAGACGTATGAAAATATCGATGCTAAACATGCATACATTTTAATGGATTATTATTATGCATACTAAAGTCCAAATATTGTTCTGTCATGGCGTAAACATTTTGATATTATATCTCGATTGAAATTCAAAGTTGTTTTTATAAGTCGATATTCAGTACACAGCTATATAATCACAAGCTGTACTGATCTTTTCAATCGACAGAAAAACAATATAAGTTTTACACAAATACAAAACTAGTGTAAACCACACAGTTTTAAACATATGATGTATAGTCAGATAAAATAGATGTCAAATAAAAGTTTTAATAACACTTGTAATGATTTTTTTTTTTTTTAATTGAAGATGAAAAACATGTTTTTATGAATTGTCCAGTGTATGAAGATTTGCGTTGTTATTTGTTTTGTATTATATGTCCTCTGGTTTTATCAAGCATCTCTATGTAATTTTAATTTTATGAATTTGTCTGATGACGATAAATTTATAATTTTATTCACAGATGAAAATATGTACTTGTATACTGCCAAAATCTGCAATGACGTTTTATTGAAAAGACGCTATATTTTATATTGCTAATTCAAGTGTACATAATGTATATACATTTTAGAAAGTCTCTCATAACTCTTTTAGAGTGGCTCTTGTACAGTACTAGTATATTTTAAGATTATGTTTTATTAGCTATTTGTAAGTTTTATCTGAAGAGGTGAGACTTAAAATAGAATATTGTATTGTCTTGTCTTGTCTATGAGTCGATATTCAGCAAACAGCATAATTATAGTATATAATCACAAGTTCTAGTGATCTTTTCAAATCGACTAAATTACAATATAAGGGAGCTACCATTTGATTTTTATGGGGGGGGGGGGGGGGGGGGGGGGGGGGGCTAGGATGAAATTTGAAAAAAATAGGCAGAGGACAGGAGTTTTGAGTAAAAAAAAGGCAGATGAGATTATTTGCAAATGACAATTTATGTAAAAAAAAAAGTCAGGATAAACTAAAAAAAAAAGCAGGACCGAATAGAGTGAAAAATAAAAAGGCAGGACCGAATAGAGGGAAAAATAAAAAGGCAGGACAAAATTTTTCATCCTAGCCCCCCCCCCATAAAAATCAAATGATAGCTCCCTAAGATAAACACACATACAAAACTCGGGAAATCAACACAATTTCAAACATATAATGTATGGTAGGATAAAATAGATGTCAAATAAAAGTTGAAAGTATAGCTTCAGTCACAATTTAGGGAGAATACATGCACAATAAAGTATGTTTTAAAACTTAGTATAAGTAGAATATTAAGCACAGCAGATAATAGCAACAGAAAAGCTTTACAAGTGAAGCAGTCAAACAAAATTAAAAAAAAAAGCCCAAGCATTAAATGCACGGCATCAGCATGAAATGTGATTTTGATCCCATCTTTGTACCAGGGTTTTATTATTGGTCAAAAGATGCTTCCGGTTTAAATTAGCTTGCTATATAATGTCGCGTCAACTTAGCTCAGATAGTCATATTTGATTAATTGATAACTTTGAATTGATAAGGATAATTAAATGCTAAATTAATAATTGCTTCGCATCACGGCATAAGTTTCATTCGATATTCGCATCATCTTTAAAGTTTTACTTCACTTTCGGTTCTGATTGGTCGCCGTATGAAGTGACTAAGGTTCTTTTAGCTTATCATCTCCGTCAAACATCCTCTTCGAGCAGTGAACCAGGATCCAAGTCTAAGTTTCTTTTTGGCTAGACTGAGATATATAATAGGGAACACGCCATGGACGGGAGAACATATTAAATGCGGAAGAAAAGGAATAAAATTACAGTATGGGTATTCAGGACCCGACCAACAATTCTTGATTAAAGTTAACATAATGTATGATACAGCGAAGGACTTCGTACAATCGTAGAAAGGTTTTAACTAGACTGAGTGGTCTTTTAGATTTCAGTAATTTAATTCTCCCTCGCCATGCTCAACCAAATTTAAAACATTTCTTTACTAAAATCCTTGGTATAATAAATAAAACTAAACTCTAGGTATAGGTTTAGTTGCGCGCAGCAACTTTTGTCTTATCTAGCAAACAATGTTTAGTAACATTATAAAACAATATATTATAACAACAATATTCAAATTTTATACAAACAAAATTATCCAATACATTTGAATGGACTGAAATCAAACATAATATCATAATCATACATTAAAATGCGACAATAAACGGAAAACTGACTGTCGTAGTTACTGTGAGCACCTTTCGATGAAGTGACACCCAGAAAATTCTTTAAATAATATAACGGAACCCCACCTTTTAAACCGCCAAAGTATTTCACATGCATATATATTACCCATATAATTATATCCCAAAACAAGAACCCGTTATACAACTACTCTAACCAGTTCTAAACATATAAATAGTATAACTATAACACAGTGAAAAATCCCAAGTATTAACAACAACAAAAATTAAATTTTACAATTGTTTTTAAACCTGTATGTGTGTAACTCTTTTTAAAATACGGACGTCTACAAGAGGTTAAAGTGAAGTAATTATTTTCATAGGCGACAATGCGTTTTTACTATAAAAGATCCGTTGATAAAACTGTCTAATTCTGAATTATCAACACATTTGGGTGTGAATAAAACTGAAAAACACATATGGTGTTGCAGCTTTTTTGATAGAAAAATGGCATTTTTAAGGGTACTCTATGGTTCCGGAATTTTCGAAATAGTATGAATGAAGACCCCCCCCCCCTTCTTCCTTAATTTTGCACAGAAAATGTTGCTCGTCACAGAGAGTTTCCTCCAAATTTCTCGCTATTTCTACAACAGCCAACACTCATTTCTCACTATTTCAATTTTGTTTTCTAATTAACACGGCAACAGAAAACAAATTTACTTCTACCTATTATCTTGGATGTAAAAACTGGGTGGCGCCATTCATCTTTAACTACTTCCTTTTAACCTATAGAAACAAAGTGTAAGCAAGGATCATATGATCTGGTTTGCTAATCTCGGTCATTAATAAATCAGTTACATGATAAGATAGTGTACATATTTATGAATGTATACAACTGAAATCGTGGGAGAAAACTGTTCAGTATATCCGTAGTCTGTAACAATTGGATAATCTCCAATTTAAACTCGTCCATGCTTGGCTTAAAGGTCAATGTTTGATCAAACATATGAAGATTAAAAACATGTATTCTTAAATTTTCTGACATTATAAACAATAACAAATCGTTTTAACAAATAAAACTAATACTTTGTTATGGTTGTAGGTATCACATGTACGTAATTCACAATTAACAACGTCTTCATTATCAAGAATATATTGAAGCTTCATAAAATCAAACAAGGGCACATCATATACATGCACTTCCTTTTTCAGTCTGATATCTTTTATTTCGAAAACCATATTAAAAGTGTATCAAAAAAATATTTTTGCCCCACTGTATAGTTTTCACCAGATTCTAAAAATAAAAGAGAAAAATATACAAATACCAAAAGCTGCTCTTTATATCAACTTTTAAACGACTTCCAATTTTAAGTTAAATATTTTTGATAAAATATTATCAGAATCTAATATATTGAATTACAAATTTGATTTTTTTATGTTCCAATGTCTACCAATCTATTCATATTTGGAAGTCCCAGCTTAGCTGCACTAAAAATATTTTGCAATAAATAAAAGAAAAATATATTTCAGTGTCATAACTACTATTAATATTGACATAGTTTTACAACCAATGAAATAATGTATCGTCCGATATTTAGTAAAATTGATGCTTTGTAGTGCATTTTATGAAAATACTCGGAATAACAACAATTATTTAATTTGCAAGTTGGCATGATTTTCATTTTCTGTACATCAATACACACATTTAACCTTTGATATCTATGAGGGTATAATGATAACATTGATAATGTTAACAATATTATCATATCAAATTTAATATTTACAAATACATTTATTCAAAAATTTTGCGATGCAGAATATTGTATATCCGATCTTGTCTCTCTTGCTGTCATTCAATTTGGTGCAATCATTGCCTGTAGTGAATACCAAATATGGTTCAATAGCTGGTTTTCAGGAAAATGGTGTCAATGCATTTCTTGGTGTTCCGTATGCCGAACCTCCTATTGGAAACCTAAGGTATGTATTTTAATAACAGTGAATAGCTATGTTCCTGCAATGTGTTTGCCAATTTTTAAATGACGTATGTCCGTGTTGTTTTGTGTTTCTATTTCACTATCCTCTATAGTAACTAATTCACTGCTTGTTGTGTCAAGTGCCTTTTCAAATCGGAAAGCTGTGCCTAATTCATTTTGATTAATATGCATTGGTGGCCTTGGGCTGTTTTCTGCACTTTGGTCGGTTTGTTTTCTCTTGACACATTCTCCGTTTCTCATCTTTATATCTAAATTTTCCAACCGTTTTACCTGATAAAGTGTTTAAGTGGAACATTTCCGGTTATGAACAAAAGGAGATGTTGTTGTTACGTCAACAAAACAACAACAGAACCATACTAATACGGCTTCCGACATGGACAAGAGTCTATACTGTATTGTCAATCTTCAAGCAAACCAAGTCTTGAAATCTGTAGATAAATTCAACAGGTACTTAGACTATCAAAGATCTGATATCAATACTAAATACTCTTGACGAAAAACTTTTAACTAAAGACAACTAATAACGTGGTTCCTGACTTTCATGGTTCATGAACATGCGCGGGGTTAAACTTAGTTACAGGGAAAGCACACAACTCTATGATACCGGTATAAACCAAAGGAACAAACATAACAATGATAAACAAAATACCGTATCACAGACTGCTCGATAGTACTATAAACTAGCTCAAAATTCTTACCCTTAACATCTTCCTATACTGTTATATTCATTAATATCAGCAGATGTACTTCGGGTAGGTTTCATACGGCAACGTCATTAAAATTTCACGACATTGTCTAGTGCAATACCCACCGTAAATCTACACAGCATTTTAATGAAGAAAAAAAAGAGATATTAGCGTGTTTCAAATCATACATTTTCTAATTGATGCTATAAAAAAATTGTCTCGTCTGCAATTACTGCTGTCAGTGTAAAACTGTAATGTTGATTGACAAAATGACAAAAACTTATATAGAATAAGGAGATGTGACATGATTGCTAATGAGAGAGCTATCCACCAGTGTTCAAATGAAGTAGATGTTAGCAACTATAGGTAGATTTGAAGACGACGATGATGATGATGATTATTTAGTTTAGTACCGATATATTTATTAATCGTACCCATTTTTTATGACAAATGCGAGCTCTCATTTTGGTATACAAACCCTTTTTTAGATGGAACAATCCAGTAGAGAAAAACAAGTGGGTAAATACATACAACGCCACTCAGCTTCAACCAGGTTGTCCACAGAAAGGATGCAAAGACACGAACCCATCATTCGTCTGTCCTGATAAGGTAAAAAATTCATCCTACAATCATCCAACTATTGTACAAATAACAGTACACAAATAAATTTTTGCTTTATTTGTACTTGTACAAATAACGTCTCCTGTTACCCCCGCTTCCATGTTGAGCAAGCGGTAATATGGATATTTCTTTTTGTGAAACAGTTCATTTTTGGGTCCTCTTCGCGGTCCGCGTTTAAACTATGTCGATTTCTTTGAAAAATTAGAGACAATGATTTAGATTTTAACAACTAAAGTTTCAAGTATTGGGTGTAAATTTCAGAATAAAAACGATATATGTACATTGTATATGTAAGCAAGCCAGACCCCTTACTGAGCTACATGTATGGCTTATGAATTTCTATAAGTCCAAATCATAACGTTGCCTTAGTGGGATCCCAGTCCCTTTTAAAAAACCTATGTCTGCATCTGGTTAATGCGATCCTTTGAAAATAAAAGAAGTTTACTCACTCGAAAATCAAGAGAGAAATTACCATTCTTGTTACAATGGGTGATGTCTTATTGATGTTTAACTTAACTCTCATTTTGTTCATATTAATATAATTTTTTTTTTAAATTCAAAATATAAACTATGAGCATGCAAATGACAAGGATAGAGGATAACTCTGGCATTTGTATAGAATAAGGCATAAGCAAATACACATGGTACTTCGAATTATACTTTCAGACTTCTGAAGACTGTCTATATTTAAACATTTGGACTCCTTTGAGTGCTAATTCATCCACAGCTTTTCCGGTAATGGTATATTTGCATGGAGGCAACTTTGTCCATATGAGCGTTTCTTCCATGCTGTTTAACGGCCAATATTTTGTAAAGTTGGGACAAGTAATACTGGTAACACTAGATTACAGACTGGGTAAATATGAATTAACACTCATAACACTACCTCGTAAACAAGGTAATCAAAATATACAGGTAATACCAGATTATAAACAAGGTAATCAAATTATACTGGTAACACCAGATTGTAAACAAGGTAATCACATTATACCGGTAACACCAGATTATAAACAAGGTAATCACATTATACCGGTAACACCAGATTGTAAACAAGGTAATCACATTATACCGGTAACACCAGATTATAAACAAGGTAATCACATTATACCGGTAACACCAGATTGTAAACAAGGTAATCACATTATACTAGTAACATAAGATTGAAAACAACGTAATCACATTATACTGGAAACACTTGATTGTATACAAGGTAATCACATTATACTGGTAACACCAGATTGTATACAAGGTAATCACATTATACTGGTAACACTTGATTGTATACAAGGTAATCACATTATACTGGAAACCATTGATTGTATAAAAGGTAATCACATTATACTGGTTACATCAGATTTAATACAAGTTATCACATTCTACTGATATAACTAGATTGTAAACAAGGTAATCACTTTATACTGGTAACATCAGATTATAAACAAGGTAATCACATTATACCGGTAACACCAGATTGTAAACAAGGTAATCACATTATACCGGTAACACCAGATTGGAAACAAGGTAAACACATTATACTAGTAACATAAGATTGAAAACAACGAAATCACATTATTCTGGAAACACTTGATTGTATACAAGGTAATCACATTATACTGGTAACACCAGATTGTATACAAGGTATTAACATTATACCTGTAACACCAGATTATAAAAAAGGTAATCCATGATACCGGTAACACCGGATTTTAAACAATGTAATCACATTATACTAGTAACATAAGATTGAAAACAACGTAATCATATTATAATGAAGACTTGATTTTATACAGGGTAATCACGTGCAAATTAAACTGGAAACCCTTGATTGTATACAAGGTAATCACATTATACTGGTAACATCGGATTCAATACAAGTTATCACATTCTACTGATATTACTAGATCGTAAACATAGTAATCACACTATACCGATAACACCAGATTGTAAACAATGTAACCACTTTATACTGGTTACATCAGATTGTATGTACAAGGAATCACGTTATACTGGTTACATCAGAATGAATACAAGGTAATCACATTCTACTGGTATTACTAGATTGTATACAAGGTAATCACATTATACTGGAAACCCTTCATTGTATACAAGGTAATCGCATTATACTGGTAACAACAGATTGAATACAAGTTATCACCTTCTACTGATATTACTAGATTGTAAACAAGGTAATCACTTTATACTGGTAACATCAGATTGTATACAAGGTAATCACATTCTACTGGTAACACCAGATGTTAAACAAGGTACACACATTATACTGGTAACCTTTCATTGTATACAAGGTAATCGCATTATACTGGTAACAACAGATTGAATACAAGTTATCACCTTCTACTGATATTACTAGATTGTAAACAAGGTAATCACTTTATACTGGTAACATCAGATTGTATACAAGGTAATCACATTCTACTGGTAACACCAGATGTTAAACAAGGTACACACATTATACTGGTAACCTTTCATTGTATACAAGGTAATCACATTATACTGGTAACAACGGATTGAATACAAGTTATCACCTTCTACTGATATTACTAGATTTTAAACAAGGTAATCACTTTATACTGGTAACATCAAATTGTATACAAGGTAATCACATTATACCGGTAACATCAGATTGTATACAAGTTAATCACATTATACTTGTTACATCAGATTGAATACAAGGTAATCACATTCTACTGATATTACTTGATTGTATACAAGGTAATCACATTATACTGGTAACACCAGATGTTAAACAAGGTAATCACCTTATACTGGTAACTACATATTGTATACAAGGTAATCACATTATACTGGTAACATCAGATTGTATAACAATCCAAAAATATACTCAACAACAAACGAACCGCAACACATCGATTAGTTTCTTTGAAGTAACAATTTCTATTGCATGCCATTTTTAAAAAAAATGATTGAAATGAGTCAAAGTATTGAGACAACGTTTCTGAAGTCATAAACACCAAGTTCTGTGAACATAACAGTTATCTTAATTTTAATTTTTGACATCTAAAAAAAACTACACATTTTATCATTAAAAAACAAAAACAAAGCTGCCAAATTTGTAAAATATAAAGTTGTGTGATTCTTTTAACATGGAATTAACGAAAATTTTCAGTTTCTTAATCGAATTCTTGTCTAATGACATATTTGAAATTGACTTATCACAGACTTCTGATTTTTTACTTCTGTGGTTGAAACCCTCATTGTCGCCCCTAAAATAAAAATGTTTCTGTAAAGTTGCAATAATTTCAAGGTTATGATTGAAATATAATAGATTTCCACAAATTTGTAGCAAAAACAAGAAATTGTGAAACAACTATATATGGTAAGATGTGGTGCGTTATTTGAGATGTTAAGTATATAAGTATCATTTATCGCTTTCGCCGTTTTCGACTTCTATGATTGTTAACTTTTTTATTAAAGTTTTGACGACGTTTAAATAACTTAAAAGTTTCAAATACACAGCATTTTAAACAACAAATGATTTCCAGAGTGAATATATAGAGAGCAAAATTTAAAAAGACAAAAAAAACTTTAAAAAAAAATCCCTGGTGCCTTTAACATGATTAAATGTAATTCAAATCGGGGACGCAAAATAAAACTTTATCTAGGAGAGTGGAAGTCGTATTAAGAAATCTGTCCAGGAACAACTCAAATAAACATTTACCTGATTGCAAGGGGTAACGGTCATTCACATACAGAGCTAGCTATCATGGTTTGATAATTTTTATACTAATAAGACATTTTATTTACCGTAGAACTATGGAAATTATTTTAAAAACCTAGATGCATCATTTTATTAAATAAGTTTCAAAATGCATTGACTTTGTCGATTATTATTAGGTGCATTGGGGTTTCTGTTGACAAAAGATACACCCACTCAGAAAGGAGCTACAGGCAACTATGGTATACTAGATCAACAATTTGCATTGAAATGGGTGGCAGAAAATATCAAATACTTCGGAGGAGACCCAAATAAGGTATAACTAGTATATAAGAAAAACAGTTTATGTAATGCACAATTTATGTGAAGACAAGCGAACGATTTGATTGACCGATTGGATAAAATAACATTGAGAATGGAAACGGGGAATGTGTCAAAGAGACAACAACCCGACCAAAGAGCAGAACACAACCAAAGGCCACCAATTGGTCTTCAACACAGCTAGAAAAATCCCGCACCCGGAAGCGGGCTTTTGCTGGCCCTAAACAATAATGTATACTAGTCCAGCATAAATAGACGTCACACTAAACTCCGAAACTTATAAATGAACCAAAATTTCAAAAATGGATGCTGGTGGTACCGTTATTCCATGATTTGATTGGTAGATAAGTGAGCAAATGCAGCATGGTTTGTGGTGAAAAATCCCTTTGTTAGTTTTGTCGCTTTTTATAATGTTGCCTTTTACTTTTGATCAATATTTGTATAACATTAGAGTTTAATGGTATATCACATTTTTTGCAACCTGTTTATTTATGTTAAAATAAATTCTAAATTTGTCAATCATATAGGTAGCACTTTGTAAATACTGCTGTTTCACAAACCACGTCTCTTTTGGGGAGATATTAATATTCATAGATATCTTATTTTCTTTACCTACTGGTTACCAGATATGATCTCCATGGTTCATCTCATAGAGACACAACACATTTTATCAGTATAAGTACATATGGATAGCGGTCAAATGGAATTCTGAGGAAGACTCAAAGTAAAGGGAGGGGTAGTACAGAATTTAAGTATAAGTTTAAACTCTTAGAAGTTCGAGGCATATAAATGTTGAAAATATGCCGCACAGTCCTATGTTTTGACATTTGAAAAAAATAGTAGTGCATATGAACTGTCCATTCTAGAATACAATTTTTTACGAAATTCATAGCAAAAGTTGCACAGTTTTAGTCGTAAAAGGAGTTCCTATGGGAAATTGTCTATATTTACAGAAGTGCAACCTATAACCAAATGCTTCTATTTTATAGGTAACATTGTTTGGACAAAGCGCAGGTGCACAGTCAACTGTTATCCACCTAATGAATGCTGAAAGTTCAATATATTTCCAAAAGGCTATAATAGAAAGTGCACCGATATCTATCCCGTTCAAAGACCGGGCTGAAGAACTTTTCCTTGGAGAAATGATAACACTAGAACTTGGATGTCAGCCAAATGACATGGCATGTCTCCGTTCTAAAACCGCCGATGAAGTTGCATTAGCACAAAAAACTGTTCGCGGTTACCCAAGTTCAATAAAACTTTTAGAATTCTTTGAGCCTTTGGGACCGTATGTTGATGGTCAGGTTGTACCATTTCAACCTCTAGAGGCAGCACGACGTGGTTATTTACAGAAGAAGCCATTTATCATCGGATCTTTGACGGAAGAAACGAGAATTTTTATTTTTGAAGCATGGAATCATACGATTAGTCCTACATTGTATGCAGAAGCACTTCTAGCAACGTTTGGACGCAACGTTGTTGAAATCTTAGGAATGTACCCCCCTAACAACCCTGAAGACGAACGCGATGACTTGCAAATTGCGTCTACTGATTTTATTTTCACCTGCCCGACGAGGAATTTTACCAGATCAGTGAAAACGAAAACCAGCATTGACGCATGGGTTTACATTTTTGATCATTTCTTTTCATTTAATGGCTGGGGGAAATTCACAGAGTGTAACTATCATGTGTGTCATGGTTCAGATATTCCATACGTGTTTCAATCATTCCGTTACAGTGCTAATTTTACAACAACACCTGAGGAGAATATAATGTCTGATAATTTGATAAACTATTTTACCAATTTTGCCAAAAATGGAGATCCATCAGTAGGCAATCCAATTCCTTTCAACTGGCCAAAATATGGCAAAAATACTAACTGGCAAAGTTTGAGATTTAAAACCCCAGCCAGTGAGTTAGACAGTGTATTTAGGGACAATTATTGTACATTTTGGGATACAATAGGGTACAGTGCATGATCTTCGGCTTTATTGTTATATGAATCATTAGATATTATTAAATTGCCTGCAGTTAAAAATTTGTAATTGTAAAATTATCCATTTGACGTCAATTACTTGTATTACAATTATGATCAGCAATTCAAATTATATTTGTAACAGATCATATATAATTGTATATTACATATACCTTAAACTGCTAGAAACAAAGTCGCTTTTGGTAAAAAACAGAGTTATACACACGATATTGTTTAGATGACCGTGCAACCTCTGTTTCATAATTTTGTAACTACGTGATTTGTAAATTGAATTAATTGATGTGTAGGTATAACGTCAATGTGACAACTACCAAATAACATACAAAGCCCGCACAAAAACAAATAAAGGTCACCAGACTGTCTTCGACAACGGACAAGTGCCTGTTTTGAAATGAGGACCTCTAAATCTCCAAGAGTCTGACATGATTTGATTCATTTCAACAGCCATAACCATTGATCTGATTTAAACACAATTCTAAATTGATAAAAACAAAGAGATTACAACAACAATGACGAAATGTTATGAATGTGCCTTTTCAGGAATTGCGTTCCATTATGGGAATATAACGTATTTTAACGATCCGAACGTCATTTTTGAGAAAACGCGCAATTTATGAGGATGGAAGTTGAATTTATTTTGCCGATTGGGACAGCCACATAAATATGTGGCGGGGTAAAACTATCTATGCGAGTACACAACCCTCGACTGTTTTTATGACCAGTGGAGTAAACAAATATATACAGTTAAAACGCACAAAAGATCACTACAAAAGGGCATAAATAAGTGATGTCGGTATTAAAGAAGACAAGAATACGCTCCAGAATAAAAAATATCAAAGAATGGTCACGGTTTCTGGGAAATGCCATAGTACTTAATTGGTATTCAGTGTTGCACTCGACCACTGCACTTACAAGAAGTGGACATTTTTATAAACGATATACGGTCTATCTTGAAGAAAAGGCTGATGGCCCCTCTTAAAAATAATCAAACCTCTCCAAATTCTATACTGGAGTGTTACAAAACAAGAATCTGTAATCGAATTGTTGTCCGTTTTTTTCTGGAGCTTTAAATTCTTTGCATTTTATCATTGGATGTTGGTCCTCAACTTTGGAGGTTTCAAAATCGGAGTTAAATGTCAATAGGACTTAGAATGTCTGCTTCCTCTTGTTCAATCTTTTCACGTACAATATAAGGTTTCATATATCCAAACTACTCGTAAATAATATTTTAGTATGTAGACATATACGTATCTTATGCTTTTATCCTTTGTTTAACAATATTATTTTTAAACACAAACTGAAGACAAAAGCCGCAAGAAACAAACGAAATGAAACAAGACTTGGATTAAGACAGCACAAACTTTAGCGAAAAAAGACTCCTTTTTGTGAAACGAAAAGCAAATTTCTTGAAAATTGCAGTACTACATTTCTTTTCAACATATCTGACGTGATCGATTCAGAAAAAAGATATTACGTGACCACGACGTCCGTTTCCGGTCCAAAAAAAATATTGGAAAGTTCAGCAGTTGTGTCAAAATCATAACGAAACATTCGAATCTTAAATGAATTATAGTTTATATTTTATTTTAAACAAAAACTTCAACAACAAAGAAATAAATATAGTGCATTGGTACAAAATGTAACATAAAAACACTTATGTTGCATTCGAAACTATCATTCTCATTGTACGTGCATATAAATGTATATATAAACTTATTTCCAGTTACACATACATGACGTAGAAGAATTCTTTATTCTTAACTCAAACAAAGATTACATTTCACAAAAATATTCCATTTGTTAGTCTTCTCTTGCTAAAAGGATTTTTTTCATTTTTCTTTCTTTTTGAAATATTAATGTAATTGATGGAAATGTTCATCTCATTTTGATCTGGGGAATGGAAAAAATTGAGAAAGTTTCGAAACGATGGATGCAAAATGATAAAAAGTTTCATATAATTGAGGTTTGAATAGTTAAAATTTATCTGTTTTCAAAGCAATTCATCAAATTTCTAAATTTCATTATTCCACCGTCAATAATAATTTCACCCGTTCCATAAGCTGTTATTGCCCGCATTCGACTCGATATTAACTCCCGAAATACTTTCTCTGTAACTGTTATCTTCACATCATACAATGGTTCTTTACCGTGGTGAAATGAAACAATAGCAACAGAATTTCTGATTGTTAACTTTACGTTATCACCGGTATCAGAAAATGAAAATAACAAAGAGTTGTTTACATTCATGCATTCCTCTGCTTTAAATTTAACAGGCATTGCCAAGAATAATTGTCTTATTGGAAGCGTTTTGATTCCCATTTCTCTGTTACGCTCCGAATTTCGTAATTCTATTTCAGCTGCTTCTTCGAACGCACATGTTAAATAATAATTTCTACCACATGCGCTTACTTGCCTTGCACCCAGATAAGTCAAAGCATCTATTTTAATGTCTCTTGCTTCAGAGTTATCTGAATAAATTATGAGAAGATAAGAAGATAATTCTAAAGCCCATTGAAAGTCTTTTTCTTTTAGTGCTGTTTTTGCTGCTTCTAACATTTTATCAACGCCTATTAGCTTTACCATTCGTTCGGATTTACTTTTTATTGTTAAAGGTTGAAGATCTATAGGGTTACCACTGAACCACCCTAAATACGAATTAAAAACACCTTTTACCGACCACGCAACAGTTCCATAAAATTCCTTTAGATATGGATGTCTGGCTAAATTTTTTGGCAATGCTACTTTTTCAACAATTTCCTCAGATGTGAAGCCTTGGTTTATATATCGTACAGTCTGATCGTGGATATACTGAATCGCATCTCTATAAACTGTTAATATTTCCTTAATATTTTCTTTACCAAACACAGGTCGAGTATGGCTGGGAACTAAGTGTTGTGTATCATAAGTTAACATTAAATCTAATGATCTAATCCATTGCATGAGATCACGGGAGGGTGTGCCACGAATAGCATAAAGATTTGGAAAGGCTTTATAAATATCGTCTGCGCATAAAAGAACTTGTTTTTCAGGGATCCACACACCAATCTGGTCGTCTGTTTCACCTGGAATATGTATAATCGTCATATTGATTCCTGAAAATAGAAAAGGACATATCAGATTAATAATCTAAAAAGGTCTTCTTTATGATGTTTTCCTAAAAAATTAGAAACACACTATAGTTTTAAAGATAAAAAAGAAAATGGCGTATACGTATCTCCGTTGACACAATAAATAAGAATACTTTCATTTTGAATTTAACTATCAAATAGAAGTGAAATGTTAAATTAAATATCTTTCATTTTTATCGTTTCCCCCACCCAACCCTCCAAAAAATATAAACACACACATCATTCTTTTACAGAAAATAAGAAAAAGAAAATGGCGTTAAGTATCTTTTTTTAATAACTCCTGAAATAATCCCTTTACAAATTCTATGAAGCCATCAATAACTGGTTGATCGTATTAACAGTGCTTCGATTGCTGCTGTTTAAAATACCAATTAAAGGAAATGTGGGGTAAACATTAATGAGACTGAACCCCATAGATGTAACCTGTCTACTCTCATCCATTTCAATTATTACCAGTCTTATCATGATTTCACCCAATTATCAGTTAAAGCAATATGCATATGATTGATGAACAATATAAAGTAAGATTAACTGGTGTCGTCCGACTTGCAGTTCATACAATTCTAACACGATCTACGGTTCCTAATTCCTATCCGTTCCGTACGTGCTCCGCAATACTCCACTAAAATATGAAAAAGGTATTCCAGAGGTCATATTTAATGTTTTGTTACATGTACGTACATGTAGTATAGAACGGAACGGATATGATCTCTGCGCCGTATACTGATTCCTATATGCACCGCCATTTTTAAATATCAAATTATTGTTGAGGGTCTGGATGGGGTTTACAGAATAGATCTAATAATGAACAAAAAATGCCGAATAAAGGGCAAAAATATGAAAAAGATAGAGAAAAATAGGCCAAAAATAAAGAATAGAGAATAATTGGGTGCTGATATATAGAAAATAGCGAATAAGGGTCAAATAAAATAAAGAACAGAGAAAAATGATCTAAAAATTTGAGACTAAAGAAATGACGGACCCCATCCAGACCCTCATCTGTTTGTGTTTTAAATACTTATTTCTGTCACAATTTTTCCCTTGCTCTCCCCCATTCATATTTTCATATATCTAACTGATTTAATTTTTGGTTAAGCAGTTGAAACAAAAACATTACTTTACCTACTTTGGGAGAGCGGGGAATAATTCTCCCCTTTTTTTCCTTTTTCATCTGCTTCTGTCTATTTCAAGTTTATATTATACTGATTTTCATTAGAAGAAGGATTTAAATATAAAAATGGATTAGAATTATTCAAACAAACTTTTCAAAAGTTTTAATAATAATATAAGTATGTGGTATGATTACCATTGAAACAACTATCCACCAAATTCAAATGTAGTGGATGTAAGCAGTTAAAGGTCACCGTCCGGACTGTAATTATGAGGAAAACCAGTCGGCTATAAAAGGCCCCGACATAAAAAATGTGAAAAAATTGAAACGAAAAAAATTACGACATAATTTATAACAAAACAATTTACGAAAAAAGGATATCTATCCTGTTTTATTTTTGATTAAAATTTTAAAGATTAAAAGAATGAATAACTTACCAGCTAATACTAAGTTGGTTTTTTGTTCATGAACAAAATGTGTGGGATAAACAACACCAAGAGTTGTTTTATCTGTACCATATTTTAATTTCAATCCAATACCAGCATTAATTTGGCCTGGTAAATGGACCCCAAATTGTCTCATTGAGCGTTTGTAAGTAGCACCGTTGACCGTTGAGAATACTCGAGTGAACTCGCCAAGAATTCCTGCGTGAGCCCATATATCCGGCGGATTATCTTCGTCCTCTATAAAGGCCTGAAAATCAAGGGAGAAATAAGAAAGGATGTTTTATATTTGCATTAAAATCACACGTTTACATTTTAAATTATGATTTGTACAGCTGATTTTTACACACATCTATAATACATGATTTATGCAAAACTTAATGTAAAGGTCAAAAGTTAAACTTTTAATAAAACGAAATAGAAGGGAGATATTGGAACAACAGTCTACAATCACTGAACAACACGAACTCCATCAAAAACCTAGGTCGATATCAGGTACTTCAAGAACTTCAAGAAATGAAAGAATATAAAATAATATTTTCATTTTTTTTTATACACTTTCTTTTCATACATATGTTGTGCTGTTACACTGTGACGACTGTCCCAAGTTACGTTGAATGTATGCTGGCAAATATGTTTAAGTCTGCCACATTTTGTATGTGCCTCTCACAAGTCATGCGCCTATATTTCAGTGGTTGTCGTCGCATGCAATTGCTTCAGTCTAATTTGTTTTTCTCGTTTGAATTGTTCCCCTTCTTGCCATGCCGGGACCTTTTATAGCTTATTATACGGTATGGGTTTTGCTCGTTGTTGAGGGTTTTATACGAATAAAGGGAGATGTGAAGGAAAACACGTAAAAAGTATTTTCGAATCATAATCAAAGATTAAATAATAACTTTCAAAGTATGTCTAGTATATTTACCAGACCTGCACATTTTGAAAACGTTCGAAAATTTCAGTAAATTTGCATAAATGTATTGGAAAAGTTCGATTGTCCACGGAAAATAATTTATCTCTAATGTGTACTGAGAATAGGGACCATGCACACCTTATTTTATTCACTGCTTTTTTAACTATGCATATTTTATTCAAGTGATTGATTAATTTTGGTGTTTAACGCCACTTTCAGCACTCTTATCTATTGTTGGCTATATCGTGGCGGCCGGTTACAGATTTGAAGAAAAAATGGGAAGCACCAATACAAAGTTAGGCGTGTGACTTGTAAAAAAGTTAATCATGTATATATAGCTCCATAAATCCACCCTTTTTAGACCGCTCGGCCACCGAGGCCCCTTTTTCAACTCCAGAAATATATTACCTTATCTTTATTTTGGAAAATCTTTTGGAATTCGGGGTCCTCAATGCTCTTCAACTTCGAACTAATTTGTCCTTTTTAACTTTTTTTATTCGAGCGTCACTGATGGGTCTTTTGCGTCTGGCGTACAACATTTTAAAAAACTGGTATCTATGATGAGTTTATTCATTAACTCAATATAAGATGAAAATATAACTTAAAGTTATTAGACTAAAAATCAATTTGAATAATAATAATAATATATACGCTTTTTTGTACTAAATACATTTTTACAAAATAATTATTTTCTAACAGCGCCATGATTATTCGAGCATTATATTTTAATAATTTGAAATCTTTTGGTTTCATGTATTTTTTTCCCGCGATATGCTTCAATTTTCAGCATGAATTGTCAACCAAAAAATGTCATATAAACTTGCAAATGAGAGCTGTGGGTTTATTTACAGTTAGCGTGGGTTTATTTACAGTTAGCGTGGGTTTATTTACAGTTAGCGTATATAGGTTTCCGATGATTTGCATCCAAAGGATTGAGTAGGGAATAGAAACTTGGCAATCCCTCGTTTTGTTTGCAGTTAAGGATGTTCGCTACTATTGTTTTTGACTTTTTGTCAGATATTCTGAATCCTCTAGTTTTATCCATGTAGTGCCAATAAAAAATTTGCCCACTGACCCCTACTTTTCTTTTCAGAATTTTATTGCATATAGTTTTAAAAGTAATTTTTGAAAATTTTATAAAATCCTTGTTATTTTTTCAGTTTTTGAAAGGAAAAAGGTGTCAATGTTAAATGTATGAAAAATCTAGAGAGAACTATTTCCCGCCAAATTTTCTATTGATTAAATCTCAAAAACTAGAACACGGAACTATCATTTTTTTCCGCTTTTTTAGTTCCCTTATTCATATTCTACCAATATATAACAGTCTTTTAAAAACCTTGTTATTTTGAAACAGAGAAGCGAACATCCTTAAACCCTTGCTAAAAAGGGACTGGCGTCTGTTTGGCTGAATGGGAGCCACATCCGGTCGGTGTGTGGACGTTACAAAACCCGATGCCACGTGTAGGTTGAGTGCAATGCTCATTTCACTTTCAAATACCATTTTATAAACTATCTGAGGGGTCCAAAGGTGGCCTGTTTCTGCAATGCATGTGCGCAATGCCTGTCCTTTTTCAACAATAACTGAGTTTCCAATGACAGCCCAAATTTCCCGCCGTTTATCACAGTCAACCTACATTGCAGAACCAACCTATTGTATCAATAGTTCATGCGTTCTCGTTTGAATATGCCGATGATGAAGTTATTGTCATAGGGCTTAAAAGGGGCTGTTCAATTGTCAGTTAAAGCAATATTGAATCAAATTTTTTTATCAGTTCTCAGTCCTACAAATGAAGTGACGTATACCTTTACCTGAGTTCCTCACGAATTTCTAAACTTACCTTAACTATTGATGAAGATAATTTAGTGATACCATGTAGTGTTAAACGTGGTAAGAAGTTTAGCAGCAAACATATTACCTTATAATTCCTTAAATAGGTCAGAAAAACAGATATTTCCTATCTTTTTAACTAATTAATTATTAAAAAACAACAAAGATATCCACTGTTTTGACAAAGGCAAAATCCTATTCTTTCCCAATATGTTATCAGAATCGATAGCACTTTTTGATATTTATCCTGCAATCTACCTTTCTACTATACTAATACAGGTGTACAGATAACACGAAGCGATATACGTATACTAGACGTACATAGTCTCCTGGTATCCTGTTTCTGTTGCGAGCGAACGGTTATGTCAAATTACTGTTTACGTCACAGTTCAATTTGGGGTCCTCATTGCGGTCCGCGTTTAAGTCATATCGATTTCTTTCAAAAACAAATTCAACGGTTGGGATGGAAATAAAATGTACAAAATTAATTGCAGGATAAAGACAATAACTGTTTAGTGTCTTTATAAACAGTTATTGTCTATGTAAACTTTCACCAATGAAAAAAAATTTGTATTTCACTCCTAACTGAAGGAAAATGACGAAAGTCATTTGTTGTATAAATGGTATGCCGAAACATACCAAGACAACTGTTAAAATACAAACCTTGGCACCAAATGAATGATCAGCATGATTGTGAGTATAAATCAACGCTTGTATTGGTTTGTCTGTGACATTTCGGAACACCTTTAATATTTCTGCGGCACTCTCTATACTTTCTGTCACATCAACTATTACCAATCCCTCGGGACCTTCTAACAAAATAGAATTAGCTAATGCGAATCCTACAGCAACATATACACCATCAGTAACCTGTCGATGAAAACTTGTGACAATGAAAACTTCACTTAGACAGTAGCCCAACAACAAAATAGAACCAAACGGACAACAGGTGGGCATTATCTTATTAGCGTTTTTGTTATCTATAGCAAACCGTTATTATAGAGATTTGGGATTTTTTCTGAACTGATTTTATCGTCTTCTTGTATGTACACACTTTTTTAGTCCAATGACCGAGATAAAAAAAAGGGGGGGGGGGGTCAATGAGATCTACATAAAACTTTTTTAACTCCGCCACATGTTCATGTGCCTGTCCTATACAATATAATATTTTTTCTGTTGTTTTGGCTGAAAGCAGATATAGGTCTGATATTATCTGTATATAATGTATCAACTTTTCAAATCATAATGCATAGACATCTGTCTATTGTTGAAGATAAGTTGACCTCTATAGATGGCTTCCGGTTATTTGTGTTGTTGGGTTTCCGTCCCATGGATGTATACCATACCGGTCGAGTTCTCAAATTATGATTAGTTGTGAATGAAACTTTGAAACTGATGGATTATAACTTACAAAAGAATATAATCCGGTCGTTGGTTTTCTCTTTTAAATTGTTTCATATTTTGTTATGCTAGGACCTTTTAAAGCTTCTATACGGTATAAGTGTTGCTCAGTGCTGAAAACAGTACGGTGATCTATATTTGCTTACAACCTCGTCCTTTGGTCTCGTGTTGATAGTTGTTTCATTTGCAATCATAATAACGCTTTATTTTTTTCAAATAGAAGAAAGTGATCAAGATGGTTAAAACAAAGATAAACGAGAAGAAAAGAAAAAGAAGTTCCATTGTTTTAGAATGATGGTTTGACAAAAGATGAAAGAACAGTGATTATAAAATAAAAACATTAAAAAATACGACAATTGGAAACATTTGTCCCGCCTGAGAAAACAAACTAAAATAGATTTTATACCGTTTTTAGCTATTTTCCAGCTCCACATTATAACCGTATTATTTTTTATGACCATTATGGAATACAATAACTTTTATATATCTTAAATGTAAGTTGTCGTACCTTGATCAGTTCCGGTTGACTGAATTCATCAGAATGTTTTAATAACTCTTTATCAGGCATTGCATTTTTGATAATTCTCTCAGCATATGATGGTCCTTGTAAACTGTGAATTATTCTACTACCAAAATAACCAAGTAAGGCCACAAACATAACAATCAAAGCTATTTGAGGACCATCCATTTTTATTTTTGTCCTTTAGGATATTCAGATGCTGCAAGTCCTGAGTATTAACTGAAATTTTAATTATTTTGAAACAATATTTACTAGGCTGCAAAATTTTGAAATATAAACCATGAAACTTAGTACATGAATTACAAAAAAATTATTGGACAGTATCACTGACCACAGCAACTTCCAACGGTGAACCAAATACCGATACCTCCGAAAAAATAGATATACAAACAAGGACAACAATGTCCAAATAGCCGAACTTTGTACAGGTACAAAATGGGGTGGGGATATAACGATTTTACGTGCTTGTCCCAATTTTTTGGATATATCTAGACATTCTTCGTAAAAGTAAAACGCAATTTAAAATCTCCGTTTACCAAATCCAGCTACCAAATGGATGACCAGTAACTTGAACAAGGAAATTAAAGACGGCACATAATTTGGACAGCAGGGTCAAATTGTGCTCGCTCCATCAGAAACCTAGCTTAGGTAGTCACAGTAATGTTCTAACTCTCTCTCGATCTCGTTTGCTTGTTTTGGTAACACTACCCTTCGTAATTAACATTTCCGCCTATTCAAACTTTTGCCTCTTAAGCTTCCTGGTGAAGATTAACGCTGAAGAGAGCAACGTAACTGACCTTGATAACCATTTTTAAATTTTCCCTTTTAAAGCAATCCTTAAGGCGAAGGGAGGGTTCGGGTTATTGATGTAAATGTTTTGGCATTTTACTATAACATTTAATGCAAAACAATATAGCATGCTTCATTTACGTCTCGCCATTGATGACACTACAAATCTTCGTTGTATATTTAAGATTATTTTATAAAGTTTTCAATGACATTCCAAAATTATGAGAGACCGCTTTATAAAGAACTGTTTACAGATATTAAAATCAAAGCAATATTCATAGATATGTTAATTTGTTAATGTACTGGTTCCCATTTATGGTCTCTGTGTTTCATCTCATAGAGACATCACTTGGGAATGTAACCAGTATAGAAAAATATGGTAGCGCCTAAATTTTAATTCTTAGGAGGTCCAAATATGAAGGTAAGGGTAGTATAGAATTTTAGTATAAGTTCAAACTCTTAGAAGTTCAGGGCATATAAATGATGAAAATATGCCGCAAAGCCCTATATTTTGACCTTTGAATAAAATAGTAGTGCATATAAACTTTCCGTTCTGGGATATTATTTTTCACGAAACTTCATAGTAAAAGTGTCACAGCTTTAGCCGCAAAGGGAGTTCCTATGGGAACTTGCATTGTCTATATTTACAGAATTGCAACTACTGAATTACAGGCTCCTGACTTGGGATAAGCCCATACAGAATATGGCGGGTTAAACATGTTTGCGGGCCACCGACCCTCCACTGACCCGGTATAGTGGTGTAATAGCACAATATAAGAAAAAACTGTAAAAATAAGTTGAAAAGATTTAACTCATCAGATCGATACAAAATCTTGCTTTCATTTGTATGACATGTTAACGCTTATTGTATGAACTGTCAAGTTTAAGGAGGCATCGTAATAAACATCGCTCCTTCTTGTATATTCGCAACCGTCGTAAAATAGGCCTATATGATATACAAGTTATAGACATAATTATTTATAATAACTCAATATATAATATATTACATACCTGTATCAAATATATCTCCAGTATGTACATTCATCGTCATAGTTGTAGTTTGTACTCGACTTTGTACTTCAAATTAGTATAATAACTAAAGTACTTATACAAAGATAATTTTACCACTCAGAAAGGTATTATAATATATTTATAACTGGGACGTAATAAACTTTTGAAAGTAAATGCACACAAAATAGATAAGAGTTATGTAAATATGTGTACTTCCAATTATTCAATAAGTCAAAATCTAGGACAAGATATGTTCAACGTATCTTAAAACTTTAATGCGTAGTTATTTCATGTTATTTCGACAGAGAAAAAAATCAACAATAGCATATATAAAATATACACATATGTATGGCATGGTATTGGTTGCAAAAAATTGATATTTTTCATTTAAATGCAATATTTCTTATTTAATTGGTATATTTCTTCATTTAAATGCAACATTTTTTTATTTGAATGGTATATTTTTTCATTTGAATGCAATATTTTTATTCAGATGGTATAATATTTCATTCAAATGGTATAATTTTTCATTCAAATGGTATAATTTTCGTTCAAATGAAATATTTTTTATTCAATTGGTATAACATGTCATTTGAATGCAATATTTTTTATTCAATTAGTAGTTTTTTTTATTTATATGCAATAATTGCCTTATAGGAAATTCTTTGACGTCATAAGGTCAAATTTGCAACAACGTTTGTGATTGGTCGGTAATTGTTTGGATTTCGCCCCTTTCTTTCTAAACTTGAGTGACCAAGAATTAAAAAACGCGTCAGAATATCGCCCCTCTAACTAAATTTAGCGATCCGTGCGAGTTCGTGCACTGGCTGTTAATGCCAATAATGGCCAGGACGAGCAAAAAATGCGAGTGACAAGTAATAATAATTAATTTGACACACAACTTGTTCATGGATAGAAACAGATGCCTGCGTGCATGGCAAAAACACCTCCAATGAAAACCTTTTCTGAAGAAACTCTCCTACATTCTACACATTGAAATAAAAAAAAATACATAGCTAGCCCCCTCCCCCTTCTAAGTCCAGATACATGTAATCATGACGTTCTTTAGTGCTATATCATTTTTTACTTTTCTTGATCCTCAGAGACGTTGCAGGAAGGCACATATGAAAAAAGAATAAAAAGCATCCAGGACATTACAATTATTTGGACTAAGCCCCCTCTTTTTTACTACATGTAGAAAAAAAATCACCTAATTACGACAGCAGAACCAGAAACCCACAAGAAGAGACATAAGCTGTTTTACTCCGGAACTAATTCTTTAATAAAGACAATTCAGGATAAATTGGAACCAGTTACTAACCCATGTTACAACAATAGTCCTATGACATAGGACTTCACTATGATATGAGGCGGGAACTTCATATTTAATACTATCTATAATATGTGCTCTCATGTCTTATGCTGCAAATCATTTTACATTTAGGATTCGTTGCTGAGCTTTTTTTTACTGTTCTCGTCTCCGAATCCCTTAAATAGATTTTTTTCAAGCCCCACAGTAGTTCAATAATTACTATATGTCTTTGCATAAATAAGTATGCAGGGCATATTTCAAAACATATTTTATCTTCAGGACTTTTAAATGATTTACTTTTCAATACTGCATTGGGAAAGGGGGTATACAAGTTTATTTTGTGACACATTATATAATATAATTAGGTATCCAACAAATTATATGATTGTACGTTTAGCTATTATCTAGACCCGTACAAAATGTATATAATTAGACACATTTAACGGAGGCGGATCAAAAACCTCGGTGTCTAGAGGGGGGGGGGGGGAGTAGGTTCAAATTTAGATATTTGTATAGAGATGTATATATGCGAGTATTGGAAGTAATGGTTATGGTGTGTGTGTGAGGGTAGGGGTTTCAGATCAAAGATCGTTTCTATAATTCTATATCTTTTAGTTTTTACCATTTCACTCTTTTCTTAATCCTTTGATCTCTATTATATTTGTCCTAAACATGCGTGACATATTTGCCACTGAACATAAGGCAACCAAAAGTCAATCAACGTATTCTGTATAATTCATCATTTCTTTATTATGTTATCTATAGGTTTAGTCCCGCCCCTTATCTATTTTTTGGCACATTAGGGACGACATCAAAAGTTCAATGTAGGATAAAAAAACTTAATTCATATAGTTTTTTCCACTGACCCCCTACCCCCCCCCCCCCCCCCCCTTCTAAACTTAATTTGGGAAAAAATTGATTGACCAATAAGGGTATATATAAAATCGATGTTAATTAAACAAAACTTGCAGCAATTTTGACCCCCCCCCCCCCAAAAAAAAAAAAAAAAACTATTTGAATTAAGTTTTTTATCCTTCATTGATTTTCTGATGTCGTCCCTTATCCTCTCTATGTAAACCCAATTCATGTCCTGATAAATGGTGACTTATGCATAGCATCATATGTGGTTATTAAAACAAGAAACATATTCATATTATAATTAAAGAACATTAGTGAGCGCGCTCACATACCCCACGTCCCCACATTGTCATTGGAGAAATAAAATAAGTGTAAGAAAAAAAAATTGTATAAGAAAAAAAATATTGAATCGTTATTTCCTGTCGATATGCACATCTACGTTGTATGTCCTTATTATCTGAAAAGGTTTCATGAAATTCGGTTGTGTGGTTTGAGAGGAGTTGTGATGACAAACTGTTGCAAAAGTACATTGAAGCAAATAAGTTCAAAGGGGCGTAACACTAAGAAAAAAAAATGAATCGTAATTTCCTGTCGATATGCACAACTACATAGTACATGTATGTCCTTATTATCTAAAAAGGTTTCATGAAATTCTGTTGTGTGGTTTCAGAGGAGTTGCGATGACAAACGGTTGCAGTAGTACATTAAAGCAAATAAGTTCAAAGGGGCGTAACTCCTAGAAAAAAAATTGAACCGTAATTTCCTGTCGATATGCACATCTACATAGTATGTCCTTATTATCTAAAAAGGTTTCATGAAATTCTGTTGTGTGGTTTGAGAGGAGTTGCGATGACAAACTGTTGCAGTAGTACATTAAAGCAAATAAGTTCAAAGGGGCGTAACTCCTTGAAAAAAATTGAATCTTAATTTCCTGTCGATATGCACATCTACGTAGTATGTCCTTCTTATCTGAAAAGGTTTCATGAAATTCTGTTGTGTGGTTTCAGAGGAGTTGCGATGACAAACTGTTGCAGTAGTACATTGAAGCAAATAAGTTCAAAGGGGCATAACTCCTAGAAAAAAAAATTGAACCGTAATTTCCTGTCGATATGCACATCTTCATAGTATGTCCTTATTATCTGAAAAGGTTTCATGAAATTCTTTTGTATGGTTTGAGAGGAGTTGCAATGACAAGAAATAGGACTGACGGACTGACGGACTGACGGACGGACAGACGGACGGACAGACGGACGCGTCAAAAACATAATACCCTCCGCAACTCGTTGCATGGGGTATAATAATTAATGTATGCTAGGACTTATAGATAGATGTCATTAGTTCCAGGTCATGTAATAAAGTAGGTCTTATAAAAATACAATAGTATTTTAATATTGATGATTATATACATGTTTATATATTTAATAATGCCATTTTTTTGGAAAAAAGGGTAGGGGCAAGGCGTTTTTAAAACATATCAACGGGGCGCGTTTTTTTTTTGTTCTTCGGAAGTGATCCAGAAGAAGTCCATTTCTGTTTTTTTTTATTGCATTGGGAAGATCTTCTGGCTCTCTTCCACCTCTTCTTTTTTGATAGGTTGACGGCAGAGGTACATAACAAACATGGCGTCGTTTAGTCTAAATGAAATTAATAAATTTATGAATGCAGATATATTAGAATGTGAGCTGTTTTATAAACGTTTTTATGGTATGACAGCCTTAGTAGGACATCCCTGTAGGACGATAAGCTGGATAAATATAAGAACTACACGGACAATAACAGTTAAGGGACGATTATTTGATATTCTAGGGAACGCTACTTTCAACACTATTGGGCTATTCCGTGGTGGTCAGTTTAAATTTATAGATGAAGGATGGGGAAGCGAAGAGAGGGCATTATTATTCATTTCAATCTGTCGCTAATCATGCCTATTTTTCAGCTCTTACCAGGCAACCATATTCATATATGAAATCCTTCTGTCCCCCACCCCAACAAATAAATAAATATCAAATGGTTTTCCTCTTATTTAACACAAGTTTAAATTGATTGATTGTTTGTTGCTAATTTTAACGCCCAGTGAAAATTATTTCATGCTTGTTCAGGAAAACACGAGTTTAGAAGTCACGTATATAATATGAAAATGAAGAGATGGAATATGATTGCTAATAAGGCAACTATCCACCGGAGTTCAAATATGAAGTGGATGTAAGCAATTATAGATAAGATAAGATAAGATAAGATAACAAAAAAATTATTTTAAGTCGGGTTACATGAAATACTACAAACATAAGCTCTGTAGAGCTTTTTGCCGTCATGTAGACAATCGTAAGGCCTTCAACAATGACAAAAACCTGATACTGTAAAGTCGTCTATAAAAACCCCGACATTAAAAGTGTGAACAATTCAAACGAAAAAACTAACAGCCTAATTTTACATAACAAAACAATTTACAAAATATCAAATGAGTCAAGACAGGAACCAACGACAACCACTAAACTACAGGCTCCATCCATGGGACAGGCAAATAAAGAATATGGCAGGGTGGATATAAAAACGAAGATGTGGTATGATTGCAAATGAGACAACTCTCCACAAGAGATCAATTGACACAGAAATCAACAGCTATAAGTCACCGTACGGCCTTCGATAATAAGCAAAGCCTACACCGCATAGTCAGCTATAAAATGCCCCGAAATCAAAAATGTAAAACAATTCAATCGAGAAAACTAACGTCCGAGTTAATGTACAAAAAAATGAACGAAACACAAATACGTATAACAAAGCAACAAACGGCAACCACTGAATTACAGGCTCCTGACTTGGGACAAGAACATACATACAGAATGTGGCGGGGTTAAACATGTTAGCGGGATCCCAATCCTCCCCCT